TGATATTTTAAACCTGTAGTGGGCTTATTGGAATGTAACCCATCATAAGTGGAGAAGTGTGTGTATATTTATGTATATTTCACTTCTTAATTTTAGTCATTCTGATGAAGAGGCTGTTTCATCACTCTGTAGCCTTAATTTTAGTTGTAAAGGACCAGCTTTACTAAAAAGGATGCAAAGTGAAATGATGAAAAATCATAAAATGTAAGATGAGGTGCAGAGGTAAATATTTATGAATATTCATAAGAAATCACAACAAACTGCTGGACACTTTTAAGTTTCAGATTCCTTTCTCCAGAATTTTTCGAGGTGATTTCCCAGAAATACCCCCTTCCCAAAGCTTCCTGAGAACAACGTGACTTCCTCACTCTCCCTCTGGTCCCTACCCGAGGCCCACAGAGGCCCTCCCGCAGCTGTGCAACTCTGCTTCCTGCGAAGTGGGCTCTCCCAGGCCAGTGGGGCTCAGAGGCAGTGGGGGACGTGTCTTCTCGATCTCTGCTGGCCTGTGTCTTTCTGCTCCAGGATGACCTGGGAAGGAGCAGATGCGGAGTTGAGAGCATGCGGTTGGAAAGTGGGGTCTTTACTTGTGCCTCTGGCTTCCTTCTGACCCCGAACACGGGCCCAGGGCGACGCCTGGAGAGCAGCCCTTCTGCCTTGCGTAAAGCACCTTGAAGAAACACGTGACCTGTATGTGATAAATGCCACAGGCCTCCATGAACCAGGAGGTTTATTCAACCTCTGAAGGCCCTCTGGTTTCACGGGGTGGGCAAGGAGCAGACATGACCATGGACAACTTTTGTAGAGTGTGAGCATGAGCCCAGAACGGTGGCACCACAGAGCTTCCCCATGTCCTCTATCATCTGACATCAGGAGAGCGAAGGCCCAGAGAAGGGAGGACATGTGCCCAGGGTCACTCAGCGCAGCCGGGTAGACCTCCACAGTCAGAATCCAGTCTGAGATTCTGGGGCTCAGCCTTCGTTCTTTCTGTTGCTCGTTGTTAATTATTTTTAAAAATAGCTTTATCAAGATATGATTCACATGCTTTGCAATTCAGCTTTTTAAAGTGTGCAGCTCATACTATGTTCATCCCCTCAATTTTGGAACAGTTTCACTATTCCCAGAAGACACCTCATCCCTCTCTACTTGCCAACTTTCTTTCTTTCTTTCTTATCGGTACCAGGGATCAAACTCAGGACTGCCTGCTTGCAAGGCAGGCGCCTACACCGCTGAGCTGAATCCCCAGCCCCTTTGCCACCTTTCTTCCCCCTCTATTCCATCATCCCCTAGGCCAGTGGTGGTGACCTTATGGCATGTGTGCCACAGTGAGCCGTTTATATCATTGAAAGCTCGAAAAAGTTCACCATCACTGCTGGCCTTAGGTACCTATTATTTCTGGTGTTTATACATTTGCCTGTTCTAGAGAGCTACAAAAGAAATCACATGGTATATGACCTTTGCTTTTGGCTTCTTTCACTTATATTTTTAAGTATAATGCAGCATGTTTCAGTGCTTCATTCCTTTTCATTGCTGAGTAATATTCCATTTGTGGATATACTGTATGCTATTTATCCACTAATTAACTGGCGGTCATTTAGCATGTTTATCTACTAGAAACAGTGAGCTGTGAACATTCACAACCAGATTTCTGGGTGGACATGTTCTCATTCCTCTTGAGTGTAAATTCAGAAGCAGACTTGCCGGATTATAAACCAACTCCGTATTCATGGGCCCAGCCTTCTGACCCTGGCTTTCCCAGACCTTGCGGATGCTAAAGGAAAATTGTAAGCAGAGATACTACTTCCTGTATCCAGGATCTGGCAAGCAATCTGTTTCAGGCCCTTCCACCAAATGCCACAGGATGATTCCCCGGATCCTGCTTCCTGCTTGCACTCAGTATGCTGAGGACTCTAGGTGAGCTGGTTTACCCCCAGCTCAGTTCACAGGGAAAACATGGTGCTGACTTCGGAGAGCGCAGGTCACTGCTGCTTACTGTGAGCATCCTAGGGATGGTGTTGTCAGTGCTCAGGCTTCTGTGTCGGCCCCATTTGCCCACCTGCGACCCGTAAGGTTCATGGTGCCTCCTGTGTTGTGGAGGCCGAAGCCGCGTCCCCTTTCACCACTTCTCTTTTGAAGCAATGTTTCTTTGCCCTTTTGAAACAAATCACACAGCCTCGAGGCCTCTCAGTGGGAGTCCTTGGGCATCCGCCCAAGCCTGCTGGAGAAGAAGCAGAGAGGCCTGGAGAGAATGACCCGTGCCGGCTCTGGCCTGGTGACCGTGCTTCTAGGAGGCCCCGCACAGCCCTCCGCCCTCGACACCTCCTTCCTGGACTCCGTCAGTGCTGTTATTCTGGGCTTGGCATGGGCTGAGGGGTGAGCTGGCAGGCATCCTGGGTAAACATGAGCAGCTGGAGAGGACAAATGCCTCAGTGAGTGGAGGGTGGGCCCCACCAGACCCCACTCTGTGAGGCCTGTCAGGCTTACACGAAGGCTTCTGCCCCATGAGTGGTGGACCTGGTGGGAGAGGACAGTGCAGGAGGAATGGGGAGATCAGGACCAAGCCCTGTCCTGGGGACGGCAGCTGCCTGGGTCAAGTCTCAGCTGTGTCCCCTGTGAGCTGTGTGACCTTGGGCAAATTGCTTAACTTTCCTGTGCCTCAATTTCCTTATCTATAAAGCAGGTAAGCAACACTAATACTAAATAATAGAAAGGACTTGGGGGAGTCACTGACGCATTGAGAACTGTCTTCCCGGGGAAGAATCATAAAATGAGCCGATATGGTGTGTTCTGTGTGAAGATGGATCTGTTTGGTTCTAACCGAGCTAAGGATGTGCTTTTGGCCTTGGCCCACAAGGAACAGGCCTGAAATACAAGGCTTTATTTTCAATGCAAACGAAGCAGGCTTGGGACTGGGTTGCCACAAACCCCCGTATCTCCTGCTTTATCGAGACGGCTGGGGTGGCCTGGCACCTTCTTTCTTGCCGGAGGCAGCCGGTGGGAGCTAACATCAGCAGCTGAGTTCCCTCCGGGGCCTCCTTGCTGGTTGTACCTGCCCCTCCCTGTGTGCTCCAGCACATGGAGCGGACACACAAACGGCTGTTCCCACCCAGACCGCCAAGCGTTGTAAAGGGCTGAGTGAAGCTAGAGGTCAAACCGTTTTGCTGCAATCCAGGAAGGCTTCACAGAGGAAGCCTCCTTGGAGTAGGTGTAGAAGGCTGAGCAGGAGTCCCCTGAGTGGAAATGACGGTTGGGGAGCTTTAGCAGGAAGTGCAGAAGCCCCCGCCCCTCCATCCCTGCTCTGGCCCGGCCACCTGTTTTTCCAGGGGCTGGAAGCCGACAGGGACATTTTCCAGAGCCCTTTTGCAGCTGGTTTCTGGTGAGGATCTGCCAGCGCAGAGCAAGAGGAGGCTGGGTGAGCTGCAGCTGACTGTGCAGGCTTTGGGCTTGCCTGCCACCCTGCTGGCTCCAGGGCCACCCTGCTGGCTCCAGGGCCACTGTGGTGGCACCTTTAGCATCGAGATGGTAGCTGTCAGCGCGTGGGCTTCATAGCAGCCTCGGGTTTGGGGTCAGTCTCCCTCAGCTCTTCCTCCCCTTCTGATGCCTTGACAGTCAGTTGCCCTTATGAACTCACTCTGCCCAAAATACCTGGCTGGTTCCAGTTTTCCAGCCACTCATTAACCGACCCAATGCTCAAGCCACCCGGGCTGGTGCCAGCATGCAGTGTTCAGGGCACAGAAAGGTTTGGCACCTAGAAAAGGGGAGGTAGAGTTCTTACTTTATTTGTGTCTGTCACGTCCTTCTGCATGACTGTTCCTGAACATCTGTTCATTCGATGACATTAATTTGGGTGGGGAATGAATAAATGACCAAGTTCCCACACTCATGAATCACAGTCAAGACATGTGCTGCTCAGTGCCACTGCCACCAGCCATCTACAGTCATCGAGCCCTAGAAACAGAGCTAATCCTGATTAAGATGGACATTAGTGTAAAATGCACACAGTGCTTCAAAGACTCAGTATGAAAACAAGAAAGGGAAATATCTCCATTTTTACGTCAATTACAATAACAAGGCCGGACATGGTGCCGCGGGCCTGTAATCCCAGCACTCGGAGACTGATGCAGTAGGATTGCCGTGAGTTTGAGGCTGGTCTGGGCTACAAAGTGAGCTCCAGGCCAGTCTAAACTGCGTAGTGAGACTGTCTCAAAAATCCCGCCCCCCCAAAAAATTGATAAAACAGTATTTTGAGCATATTGTTAATTATGTACATCATTAAAACTAATCTCATCTTTTTCTTCTTGACAAGGCTATTAAAAATGGTTTTGTTTTTAAGAGCAAGGGAAGGTCTATGTTGGCCAGGCTAATGCTGAACTCTTGGGTTCAAGGGACCCTCCTGCATCAGCCTCCTGGGCAGCTGGGACTGACTCTTAAGTATGGGCCACTATGCCTAGCTTTTAAAATTACATGTGTGGCTTCCATTTGTGACTCTTTGTATATTTCTATTGTTCAGCATCAGTCTCGAGATACATCGTTCTCCGGATCAGCATTCATTAGTATCTAAGAGATATTTTGTTCCTGCCCTTCAGAGCTTCAGGCAGGCTGAGGAGGAGGGCTGACATGCTAACACAGAGCTAAAACTCACTGTGGTAACAGTTGATCCATATTGTAGGACTCTGGGGGCCTGAGAAGAAATCAGGGAAGGCTTTACTGAAGTGGTGACTTTGGCAGTAAGCATCCCAGGATTAACAGGAGTTTGCCAACAGATCAGGAAGAAGAAGGGTGCTCCAAGCTCAGGAAACTACCAGAGCAGAGGCTAAGAGGGAGACAAAGGTACAGGGCATCCGAAGGATACAAGAAATTCACTGTGGCCTAATGTACTCTGTTGATGGAAGGGAGAGATGGAGCTGGACCTACAGAGCCCTGAATGCCAGTTAAGTTTGAGCCTGGGGAGGTGTGTTCTCCATTCCTCCCCATCAAAAGCTCACAAAGGACAAGACCAGATCTTGGTTCCATGTGAAAAATAAACTTTTATTTCAGTGCTTGCTTCTTGTGGTTCAAAAGCACATCTATTGCCTGCTAGGAACCCAAAAGCGTATATATAAATCTACAGAGAAACAGGGTTGTATTTATGCAGATCACACATGTCACATCATCTTGTGGTTCTCTCTGTGCAAAGCAGAAAGTTTTAAAGGCATTGAAATGATTGTCCCCAAGTCCCTCTCTGGGATCTCGGGAGCCTCAGAGGCTGTGTCCGCCCAGCCCATCCAGCCCACGGGAAGCCTGGGCATACAGAGCCCGCAGGGACAGACTTGGAGATGATAACCCAGGGGCTCTGCCTCCCCCTCAGGGGCCAGCGCTGGGCGGGGCACTGGCTGCACAGCAGGGCTGTGGGGGTGCCAGTCTTGTTGGTCATTTTCCAGGTGGGCAGCTAAGGCACTTGTCTAGGCATTGTGTGGGCGAGCACTGGGCTCCCCTCCCCTAGCACCGAGATCTGCAGGGAGGGACCTAGGTGCAGGGCGGAGCAGGATGGCTGGTGGTCATGGCTTCCCTTTCGGAAACAGCCTGGGCCCTGGGGTTATTCACAAAGCTGGCTATGTCAGGGCCAGGAGCATTTTGGTGGTGCGCTGGTTCAATCACCTTGCTGATTAATGAGGAAACTGAGGCCCAGAAAAGAAAAGGCAGAGTCTGACCAGACTTGGAGCTCAAACGCAGGGCCCTGACCTCCAATTCCCCAATTCCCTCCAACTCCTCTCCTACCTCTCATTCCAACTGGGCCCACTGTGGTCAGTCCCCAAATGGCCTCCCTTTCATTTTCAGATTAGAACTGGAATCATAAATGCAGTGCTGACCTCAAGACAGAATGTGAAGGCTCTGGCTCAGGCCTTCAAATCTCCAGCCTTGCACATGCCAGGTATTCCCAGTAGTCTGATGTGGAGAGGGCAGCTGCCCCCTCCAGGCCTCAGCCTCCTCGTCATGATGCAGATCCCCATGGTGAAGAACTGGCTGGGAGCCTTGTGCACACCAGCCCTTTGCAGGGGCACCTCACAGTGGCCATTGGGCCAGGGGTTCTAGGATGGGAACGTGAGGGTGGGGCTGGACCTGTTCCCCATCCCTGCCTGGCTTTGGCTCTTAAAAGCTGCCGGGGCCTGAGTGCAGTGGGCAAGCGGTACAGGACACTGCAGGGCAGCTGAGCTCCTCGGCACAGCCTGCTCCAGGGGACTGAGGAGCAAATCAAACAGCTGGGTGGTCAATGGCTATCCAGAAGGGCTGGGGCTCAGTAGAGGGAGAAAGAACCCCCTCTCGCACTCCAGCTCCAGTCAGAATTCCCACCACATTGGCACAGAACATTCCAGGTTGGCACAGGGGCTGGTGGGGATCTCAGCTCAGAGGGACAAGATGAGCGGGAAGCACATTCCTTTCCACAGAGGCCCCACGCAGCCTACCCCTGCCCTAAGTGGCAAGTTTCACCCATTAGCTTGAGATAAAGACCAGGTCTGGTTGGGGGTTTCCAGCAGACTGAGGGGGGATGCGCACAGGACTCCCTTAGGCGGGGCCGATGATGACGTTCCGATAGCCCTTCACGGCCTTCAGCTTGTCGCACTCGAAGTTCACCACCAGCTTGTGGAGGCCCACCTCCGTCGGCAGCAGGTCCACCCGTACCTTCGCTTGCTCCCCTGCTTCCACGGGGTCTGGGCTGCACAAAGAGTGAGAGGGTGAGGCAGGGCCAGGGGCCACGTGACCACTGAGCACCTACAAGGAGTTGGTACTGAGTCTTCATGCACAGAGCCACTGCCAGCAATAAGACGTGAGCCTGGACCATGGTCCTGGATGGTGACGCTGCTAAGCACGGTCAGCTCCCACCAGGTCCTTCTGACCTGCTGTGTGTGGTTCTAGCACTTCCTGTGAGTACCTTTTTAGTCCGTAAAACACCCCATCTGGCAACATGAAACCCCATCTTACAGATGCATAAACTGAGGAGAAGAATATGAAGGGACATGCCCAGGGTTACCCACGCAGAGACCCAGAGGGAGGTATTGTGTGTGTGTGTGCTCATAAACTTGAAGGTGGCTGGTGCACTTAGGAGTAGCAATGGATATGTTCAGGTGGCCACATGCGTTACAACATTTTGAGCTGCATGTACCTGATTTGTGTTCCTTACATACACTGTGGAAAAAAGTTTTACAATATAAAGCATGTGCCAAGCATGGTGGCACACACCTACAATCCCAGCTCCTCGGAGGCTGGGGCAGCAGCACTGGGAGGGAGGACTGGGCAGGAAGATGATGCCAGTTGTCCTCCACTGGCTCAGCTTGTTTCACTCCAAGTTTATGACCAGCTTGTGGGAGGCTGGGAAAGGAGGCCCAAACATCTGAGCCCATGCCGCTTAGCAAGACCCTGTCTCACAATATAAAATAAAAAAAAGCACTGGGGATCGAGCTCAGCACTCCTTGGGTTGAACCTCCAGTATTGCAATATGAATAAATAAATCAATAAAATGCGTAGCCACATACATACATGCATGTGGACACCTATCAATAAGTCACACATCTATGTGTGTGCATGCATATGTGTGGCCACTTGGAGTGTGGACACCAGAGTGTGTGAAGACTCGTGTGTTTGCCGTGGGTGCTAAGTCACAGAATGTGTGCAGCTAATGTGAGGTCGGGGGAGGGAGCCCTGGCCCGGGGTGCTGGAGGGTGGAGGCAGGTTCCGTGTGGGGGATGAGAGGAGGGCTCCAGGCCAGGGTTCACCCTGGGGCGGCTCTGCCTCTTCGGATTACCCTCTCCCTTCTTCCCCTTGCCTGAAATGGAGCAACCAGCACTTACACCTCCACCGACTTCTGGTCCTTGGTCAGGCCAGCTCCTTCCACGGTGAAGATACAACCCAGCAGCGGCACAGGGAGCGGATTCTTCAGAGACACCTCAGCAATCAGCTTGCGGTTCTGCTTGGGCTCCCCCAAGACCTGAGAGAAGGTGTGGGGCAGGGGGAGGGGGGGTGTGGGTCCAGGCCGGTCCACCTCTGTACCTGGCACACTTTGGCTCAGGGTTTGTTGAACAAAGGCACACCCATCTCTGTCACTCCCTGCCTCTGTGCCTCAGTTTCCTCATCCGGCAAGCACAAGAACATACTGCCCAGGCCCGCCTCATGCAGCTGTAATGAGGCTCCCAGGGTGGAGGTACAAGATGCTTCCCTTGTTGTAGGGGCTGGCATGTACAGATCACAGGCTTCAGGGTCATGCTCACCTCTGCCCTCTTTACCATGTGACCCTGGGGAAGTCTGGCCCTCTCTGAGTCTTGGCCGATTCAGGGTTCTCACTGGAGCAATGAACCGAGACGCATGAGTCCCTGGCAAGTACTCACTGCCTCTCCCGCTGCTGTCTGTCATTTAGGTGCTACACTGGGGGTTCTGGGCCTGGGGCACCTACTCACAAATGGCTATAATGCTGGTGGTGCTAAGCACAGTCAGCTCTTACTGAGTCCTTCTGATGTGCTGTGTGTGGTTCTAGTGCTTCTTGTGTGTGTCCTTTTAGTCATTAAAACATCCCTACCTACCAACATGAACCCCATCTCACAGATGCATAAACTGAGGGGAAGAGTATGAAGGAACACGTCTAGGGTCACCCAGGTACAGACCCAGGTGGTCCCGCTCCAGAGTCTGCTTTCACTTGCTCATCCCTCCCTGCCTCACCATTAAGGGGCTGGGGGCTAGGTTTGAAGCTCAGTAGTCTAAGGATTCACGAAGCTAAGGTCCCTAAATTCCATGACCCCACCATCTGGGACTCTAGGAATCATTCAGAGGGGCTAAAAGCCCTAAATGCTTTGATTTCTTGATGCTTTTCTTGGCTGAGCCTAGGATTTGGGGACCCTTGAGCTGCAAAGGCCTTGAGTCACACACAGGGATGTCATGGGTGGCGCTGTTCTTACCCGGATCTTGATTTCTGGATTCTCCAGGTAAATGTCCCTCTCGGCCAATACATAGCTGTTGGCTGCTGGCTCGATAAGGAGGCCTCGCACCTTGATGAGGTTGGACTCAGTCAGGTAGTCACCGTACTTCTCATAGAGGATGTGCAGGGGGATGCTGTTCTCTGTGGGAACGAGAGGGAGGCGCTGGGAGGGCTGGATGTGCTCCTGCCTTTTCTCTGAAGCAGGAATGTGCCTAAGGTCAGACGCACTGCTCAGGCAGGGCACGTCTCAGGCCTCTCCTGCCTGCTTCGGTTCCAGGGTTCCCAGCCATGGGAGGCAGGAAGCAGGTGCAGGCTCCAGCATCCACAGGCCTGTGTGTGGATCCCACCTCTCAGGACCTGCGTTTTAGCACCTGCGTGTTAAGTTGCTCCTGGCTACCCAAGTACTCAGATCAAGCTGCTCTCTGGTCCTGCTGGCCATCAGCTGGCTACCTGAGTCTGGGAAGATGACCTGCCCTCTCGGGTGTCCTTCTGCTTGTCCTTCTGTCTGTCTGTCCTTTTATTCCCCTCTGTTGTCCTGTATGCTCATTCTACTCCCGGGTCCTCTGACACTTGCTGGGTGAAGCTGTGACCAGAGATCATTTCAGAACAAAGCCACACAGCAATGAGGGAGAAAGAAGCCAGCAGGGCTGATGCTGCCCCTGGCAGAGCAGGGTGCTTTTAGCTCTAGTGTCTTGCAAGAACAGAAGCCTGAGAGCCTCAGTCTGGGCATTAGCTTTCTTTAAATTGACTTGTTTTATAGTTTTTAACTCTTTTTTTTCCCCCTTGGAGAAACTTTTCATCATTATTTGCAGCAAACTAGTCTCACCATAAATAGAAGACCCCAGGAAAAATAAATACTGACTGTCCTGCCGATGCTGTTACCTGCTGAGGGCTCTAAGGCTGAGCCCTGAGTGTCTCACGGGCTGAACCTTGAATATCTCAATGAAGTAAGGGTTAGGGATGCCAGAAGCCAATCAGCACTCTCTGAGACTCCTCCACCAGGTCCTCTGGGGACTGATCAGGACCACGAGGACAGTCAGGTGGAGCTCGAAGTCCAGCCTGCCTGAGAAGCTGCTGACCCACAGCCCTGGCCTCCAACCTTTCTTCCGGGTGGACCTGCCCCACCTCTGATCAGATGACGTGATGTGGGGGAGAAAACCAGACTTCTGTGTCAAAAAGGACAAAGGGGTGTGAACATGATGAGTTCAGGACTTGGTGGGGTGGAGTGGAAACTCTGAATGGCCACACAGGAAAGAAGGGAAACACTGTCCTTCAGGAGCCTGGAGGATGTGGCCTCATGTGGGCTTTTCCAGAAGGTGGAGGCCAGGAAAGGGCTGGACCTTGGCGATTGGCCTTTCATAGGCCGGTGACCGTGATCTTGGCCTCAGATCACATGCTGGCTGGGGCGGGGGCTATCTGTGGTCAGTCACAATAGTTAATCAGACAATATGCCCTGTTCTGGGGCCCCACGCTGGCGGCCATCCCGGTGACCCACCTGAAGGGGTAAGAGAGCAGAGAGAGGGAAGGCAGGGGCAGGAAGGGGAAGAGAGATACTGCTGAACATGAGGCAGGGCTGGGGGACAAGCAGATTGTGTTCCCTGTCCTGGGCCTGGCTTCCTGTCCATTAGCTCGCGGAAATTCCTGATCTTATCCTCAAAGAGCAAAGCAATGCAATCAAAGTGTGGGGGATAAAGGGGAGGTCAGATTGACCTTGGCATTGAAGAACCCGACAAGATATGCTGGACTGGCTCTTCCTACAGCTAGAGAGCAACACACAGACCGTCTGTCCCACCCTGTCCCTGCACTGTGTCCTCTGGGGGTCCCCAGCAGGAGGGATGCTCTGCTGAGCACACTGCTGACAGCCCTGGCTGAAGGCCCTGCAGAGCTACGAGCTTTCCAATGGTATCTGCGAGGCAGAGGTGACTCTGCAGGGGCCTGGAGGAAGGGATTTGGCACTGTGGCCTGGGGCTCACCATATGCCACATATTTCAGGACAGGCAAGTCCTTTAGGTGCTGAGCACATTAGGCGTGGATAGGTGTGTACTCAAAGGGACTGGATTGGCTTTGACAGGTTAACTGGCCTTGCACAACTGGAGACCCTGCACTAGGAGTGAGGAGAGAAGTCCCCAGGGACCACAGCCAGACAAAGATTGCAGGAAGCAGAGCGTGGGTATCGTGAGTGCCCTGTGCACCTGGAGAAATGAACCCTGATGCTGGCTCTTGGGTTCTAGATGCAGAGAAGAACACATGATCTTTTCCATGTCATCAAAGGAGCAGGGACTCAGAAGCCATAAGCCCAGGGTAGACACCAGTGTGTGGCACAGCAGGCGGTCAGGAGGGCCTTTGGCTTCTCAGCCTCTCTGAACTTCTGCTCAGAGAGGGGCAAGGGGCCCACCATGTCCCCCTCATTCTCACACTCTCCAGATGTCTCCCAAGCCTACGTTTTCTCCCTGAATCCTCACAGGGCCACCAGGGGCTGTGCTGTAGCTTCCATTCACCCCATTCAGAGGTAATATAACTGAGGCTCAGGAGCGTGTTCATCCACCTGTGCTGGGCCTTAGAAGCCAGCAGAGGCTCAAGTCACAAGTCTGCTAGCTTTAGAATATACCACTAGGCACCATGGATGTAGCTTGGTTGTGTAAGTGCCTGCTTGGCAAGTGCAAGGTTCTGAGTTTGATTCCCAGTACAAAAAAAAATAAATAAATAAAAAACTAGAATATACTCCTGAACAGAAGTGTGGCACCCCAGCCCCAGTGGCAAGCGCTCAGCTACACTTGAGCATGGGTCTACCTGGAGTGGGACCAAGGATGGAAAAGAAGAGCGCTGCTGGGGAGGGGTACTGGATGACAGGCAGATGGGGAGGACAAGGGAAGGTGACAGAGCCATGCACATGGAGCATGCCCACCATGCCGTCCCCCCACCTCTGGCTGTGGTCATACTGAGTGCCTGCTGCATGCACAGCACACGCTGTCAGATCACATTTCCCACAGGTCCGAAGTGTAGAGAGGTGGCCCTTTGCCCAGTGACAGGGATGACATTCCACTTGGTCACACTGCCCCTTAGAGGATGGCTAGTGCCTTGCATGACAGGTCCCAGCTCTGAGACCCTCTGCCCCTCTCCTGCTTGCGGTTTCTGGCTCCCAGGGGAAGAAAATGAGCCTGGGCTGCTGGGAATGTTGGCTGGGCACTGGACTTATGCCTGGCTCTGTGCCACCTCCCCATGTGATTGCAGAGCCAAAAATATCTTCATGAGGATAACCAGGCACAGTGACAGTGCCAGAGAGCCTAAGGGCTCAAGGGGACAACTGTGCAGACTTGGGCCTAGAAGCCTGAGTGACAACGACATTGCCCATGGCTACGGCTGGTCTAACATCGCTGTTCCCCAGAGAAGGGGGAGGACACCTCTGCCTCAGAGGCCACATGTCCTCTCCTTGTATTCTTAGGCCTGCTCTGTCCAATGCTGTAGCTTCTGGCCAAGGTGCTCCTAACCTGCAACAAAATTAAGGCTTCCGTTCTGCTGTTGCAGGAGGTCTGTCCCAAGGCTCAGCAGCCAGCTGGTGCTGGAGGCTGGCATCCTGGACGGTACAGCTGTGGACCCCTCCACCCTGGTCAGAGGTTCTATGGGCAGTGCCCAGCTAGGGCTTCCTCTCTCTGAGGTCAGGAGCATTCGGGGCAGTGGGAGATGCCCGAGAGGGAGAAGCTGGAAGCAAGGAAAGGAATTAGCCAGGGGAAGGGAGCAGAGTGTCTGGGGAAGTCCGCAGGGCTTCCGGGAAGATGAAATAAGACAAAAGCATAAGCAAAAAAATACAGTTACGCAAGACAGGTTTGAGGCACAGTCCTGTCGCTTCCTGTGTACCTTCGGAGAAGCTACTTAACCTTTTGTGCATCTGTTTCCCTCATTTTCCTTACAAGAATTATATGCAGATTGATGAGGCACTTCGCAGGTGGCCTGTGCCCAACTAAATACCACATGAATGTCTGGGAAGTGAGCTGCGCTCAGCACTCGGGACGCCACCTAACTCGTGGCCAGCTGACTCCCATCACAGGCGGCCTTACCCGAGAAGGGATCCAGGGTCAGGTTGAGCAGGTCGTTGGTGCTGCACACGGGCCCCAGGACTCCATTGTAGCTGACGATGCGTGCACAGAGCAGGAGTTGGCATTCGTGGCTCTCAGCAGTGCCATTGGTGATGTAGGCAAAGATGTCAAAGTCACTGCCCATAGTCATGTTCTGGCCCACACGGATCCGCATGGCCACTCCCGTTTCCTCCTGAGCCTCTTCCTTTGTGGCCAGTTTATTTAGGTGGTTGGCCCTAACAAAAGCTTCCCGCTCCTCTTCAGATCCTGTAAGGACAGGGACGAGAGCCGTAGTCACAGATCGAATACAGCAGCCGTCAAGGAGTCCTTCCTCTACATTTCTATGCCAGGAGGAGAAAAGTCTACCTTATTTATTTTCAATAAGTGAACCTCCACTCACCCCTTAAAACCCAACCCCAACCGACTCCTCTTCCAAAGTTTCTCTGACCACCTCTTCCCCAGGTTACTTATATGCTTACCCCAGTGAGCTGCTCCAGGGTATCATTGTGTTGCATTTGCCATTATCTATCTATCATCTATAACAGTGCTCGGTGTACTCTAGGCATGAATACAGTGCAAGCATTCTCTCCCACCACTGTTTGCACAGGGATTATTTCCACTGAAATCCCTTCCCTCCTCTTCTCTGCCTGTGCAGCTCTCCGGCGGAAATGGCTGCTCCCTTTCCCGTGTCGCTTTTACTCCCTGCACCAGGGGTGCTAGGAGCAAATCTATTTGTCTATCAAGCCATGAGCTCCAGCCCCTCCAAGGCCAGGGAAAGCCTCTTTTGATCACTGTTTCCAGTGCAGCCCTCGGTCAGCTGTGGAAAGTCAGCAAGTGTCAGGCCAAGGTAGGGATTAGAATTTCTTAGGCTCCTATGAGCGCAGGCAAGTGCAGACACACAGTGGACACTTAAATCTCTACCAGATGGAGCGGGTGGGTGGATGTGCTCCATCCAATTTTTAAAAGAGTCTCTTTCCTCTGCTGACTTAACATTAGGGGCAGAGGGAAGCCTCATCCCGTGTCAGACTGAGCCTATCTTGTTAATGCGAAGTTTCCCTTGGCCCATTTCTCTTCAATTTCACCCTTCCCCTTCCTCCTCCACGTTCACTTCTCCAGCTGTGTGTCAAGTGCTGCAAAAATAAACACTGCCAAGTTCCAGGAGAGTCCCCTCTCTGGTCTATCTGGATTTTCAAGCACATTGCAATAAAAAAAAAAAAAAAACCCAGTAATGTAGAGTTGTCCACCTAGAGCTCTCTAAGTCCTACTCCTTTTTTTTTTTTTTTTTTTTTTTTTTTTTTTTTTTTTTGGTCTTTTTCCTTTTTATCGGTACCGGGGATTGAACTCACGACTGCCTGCTTGCAAGGCAGGTGCTTATGCCGCTGAGCTAAATCCCCAGCCTCTAAGTCCTACTCCTGATAAGTACATTAATAAACAACAGGTTGGACTTTCCTTTGGATCATGCTGAAAACACCTTTCCCCAGTCTGTGGAAAAACTGTCTTCCATGAAATCAGTCTCTGGTGCCCAAAAAGCTAGGAACTGTTACAATCAGGACATTATCCATGTTTCTATGCAGATGCTTCGGTCTGCTGCATACCCCCTCAGTTTTATTAACAGTTAAGCCAAGCAGAAAAGTGAGGTCTAGAAAAACAGACTGAATCCTCCTCTGAATAGAGATAGAACACTTTCCAAAATGAATCATCTTCTACTGCTGTTCTCCAATATGTCTGCACCCATCTCTGAGCAGTTTCTTAAAAGAGAACTGTACCCGGCAGGTCACTGACATGCCTAGGATTCCAGATCTCTGTCTCCCATAGGCGCTCAGGCCTGCTGGGCAGGGCTCAGAGGCAAGTCTGGGGCCGGGCTCTGCGGGCGGCACCTACCCTCTGGGTACTTGTAGGTGTGGGTGATGTCCTCTCGCTCATCGCGGCCCACACTCTTAGTACTGATCTTCAGCCCCACAACCAAATGGTTGATGGACTTGCGCAGGGACCCATCTTTCTGCCGGATCCAGTTCACCACGTCAGCATTGACCTCAGCAAACACGAAAGGTGCATCATACTTGACGTTCAGGTGGCCCTCCTTGATGGCTCGAACCGGAACTGGGCCACAGCAGTATGTCCCTGTTTGGGGGAGGGAGGCAGAGGTGGGTCAGGGCTGTGGGGACTCCGTGATTCAACCACACAAGCCAGAAAACTTTAAGCCCATGCAGCCCTTTGCCTTGGGGACTCCAATCCCAGGAGGGAACCAGGAGTCATAGAGGGACCCTAGAGGCCAGAGCACTTGAGGTTCAGTCTTAGTTCAGCCTCCTATAGCTATGTGACTTTTGGGCAGACATTCAGTTCTCTGAGCCATAGCTTCCCTTAAGGTGAATGCCTGGACCTTCTTCAAGAGGACTCAAGTTACAGATGGAAAGCTCTGAGCACACCCTCGATGCACTGCAAGTACTGGACAAATAAAAGAAGCCCGTTTCAAGGCAACCTAAGGAAACCTCAGCGCCAAGGAGCAGGCAGCTGTTGTGAGGTGGCTGAAGTCAGTGCCCTGCCCGGCTTGGCCACAGGGAGCCAAGAGCCGGATGTTTACCAAAATGTGGCTTGCGACAGCGCCGTGGAGATTAGAGGCTGGGTGAATGTATTCAAGCCCATCCTTTGATGGGACCCAATGACAGGCACTGGAAACCAAGTCACAGAAAACCACCTCCAGGAGCAATGCTAACCATGCAATGAGGAGTGGGCAGGCTGGGAAAAGGCCCACTGCTGACCCTCTGTGTCAGCCCGCAGGGTGCTGCCTGCACGATTCAGGGTCTATGAACTCAGATGGGGAAAACCACACCTTTAATTCACTACCTGCTGGCACATCCCTGTCCTTCCACTGCGAAAGCAGGCAACACAGTGCTGTGGCCTCAGGAGCACTTATGACCTGTCACCCGTGCACACCACAGATGTTTTCACAGGCCGTGTCTCTCCACCACTGTAGGGACTTACGATCTTATCTAAGGCTTCTTATATAAAAGAAGCAAGCATGTACTGTACATCATACATGCACTTATAAATTATTTTTTCAGTACTGGGGACTGAACCTAGGGCCTTCACACTGAGCTGCATGCCCTGCTTTTAAAAGAAACTTTAAAAAAATTTTGTGACACTCGCTAAGTTGCCCAGCTTGCGTTTGCACTTGTGATCATCCTGCCCCCGCCCGCCGTAATCCCAGTAGGTGTGTGCTACCATGCACAGACTTTTAAAAATTTTTATTGAAAGTTATTAACTTTGGTTTCCTTTGGAATCTTAGGCTTTACATTGTATATATTTAAAATGTAATGAAAAAGGGCCCATTTGCTTTACCAAATTTTGCCTTTGTTCTATGGAAGCACACACAAACACACGCACACACACAAATATCTAATTTGAAATTCATGGAATCTGTGTGGAAATGAAAATGAGCCTGATTTTAGAGGGAGGATGGAGAAGTTATTAAATTTTTCCTTCATGCTTCTTCATAGTTTCCATTTCCCACGATGCTCATGAATTACTTTTCAAAGTATAAAAGCAGTACATTATGAAATTATAAATGAACACACAGACACACAGACACATGCGGCTTGGTCCACGGTCTCTAGGTTGGAATCTCAGTTTACGAAGTCTCTAGTGAATCCCTGGAACTCTCCAGCCCCAGTCCCGCACCAGGTGACAGGGCCATGCCCACCCACCTTCACTCTTCTCCTGGGGTGTGGGGTCCAGGGCCTGCCACCCCTCGTACCCAGGCTCCAGGTCCGGCCTGGTCATCCACGACTCCACCCAGCAGTGGAAGTTCCTATCAGGGAAACCAGGCAGAACATGGACAACTTTCACTGTGACCTCCCCAAGGTGGCCCGCCCCAGTCTCCTCAGATACACTCACCTCATGACACACCGGGCCCAGCATGGCCCCCAGCATTCCTCTGGGCTCCTCCATAGCAACAACTCCTCACCCACACCTCACCCCTCCCAGGGGCTCCCAGCCTGGTCCCCCTTGGCTCCATCCTTCCCTCTCTCTGCTCAGGCCTAGGCCTGGCTTGGGTCTGGCCCACACGCTCCTCCTACCTCCTCGTGGTCCACAGTGGCCAGCACTGAAGCTGTAGGTGACAGTCCAGTGTCCTTGGAAATCTGCCCAGGCGCCTTCTAGCTTGATTCCCTAAATGCCCCGAGCAGGGCTGCTATGGCTTTCCTCTCCCAGGTCTCTGGCCCAGCCCCTGCCCAAGCACGGTTCCACTCTTGTGCCCCGTTCCAGTGTGGCCTCTTCCCTCAGCCTTCCCGGCTGTCCTCTCCTCAGGGCCCACCACAGCCCTAACCTCCCCCAGGCCCCACCTCACCAGATCATCTCGCTCTTGTTCCCCTCGATCTCCCCAGACTCGTTTCGGAAGTACTCGATGAGCAGGTTGCTGTTCTGGTCGTGGGCTGAGTTAAAGTTGGTCACGACTCGGGTGGGGATGCCAAGGCACCGCAGCACTGGGGAGGAGAGAAAGGTCAGCCCACCAGCCGAGGCCCTGCAGACAAGTGCCGGTCCCAGGGAGCCTCATTTGCAGCCCCAGGAGCTGGGTACCCACCAGCCAGGCCATGATGGTGTGTGCCAGCCCCTTTGCCTGGACAGTGGTGCCCACTTTGGTGGTTGCTCTATGTCCCCAATGTGCCCCTTTTACTATTCTAGGACACAACATGACATCAGTGCTCTTCTGATAAATCTTCAATGGCTCCTCATGGCCCTGGAGGGCGGGGCAGGCCCCTGATTACCTCCTTGTACACTTTGGTCCAGCCACACTGCCCTCCATGCTGCTGCTAGCCACAGGGCATTGGCATATGCTGCTCCCACCACTTGAGAGGCCACCCTGCCCTGTCTAGGCTGCTCCAGCCCTGCCCATGGTTGGGGTTTTCTTATCATTCCAAAAGATGAGAAAGATGACTATCCTATCGGGTCTCAGCATAGGTCAAGGTTTTGGGAGGGCTCTCATTTGTGCCAAAGCTCTGTATACTGGAATGAGCGCTGACAGTAGATGAAAACAGGATCACACTGGCATCTTGAGACTGACCTCAGCCCTGCCAAGCAAAGCACCTGGGGGCTGGGAGGGGGCCCATGTGAGTGTGCTGGGTTCTCCTAGGGACAGAACCATGGGTGCTCTTCCCCTTTTCCGTAATGTAAGCTTTTTTTTTTTTTTTGGTACCAGGGATTGAACTTGCAACCTTGAGCTCGCCAGGCAGGCACTTATGCCAGTGAGCTAAATTTCTGAACCTTTTTTTTTTTGTCTTTTTGAGACAGGGTCTCACTATGCAGTTCAGGCTGGCCTTGAACCCACTTTGTAGCCCTGGCTGGTCTTAACAATAAGCCTCCTGTCTCAGCCTACCAAGTTCTGGGATTACAGACATGCACCTCCCCACCTGGCCCAGCTAGAAACAAGACATTTTCTTGGAGTGGGATAAAGTGAGTATCTAAAAGGTGAAGTGAAACAGAAAGCCCCAGTAAACGATCCTTATGGGTCTTGTGTTTACTTTTAGTTTCCACGAAGCTGGGAGGGAGAGGAATAGGGCTGTGACCTTTGCCATGTGCCTCCATCAGCCAGGGCCGGCGCTTTCCGGAGGGCTCTGGATTCTGACCAGGAGACTCGTGGGCGCGGGGAGAGAGAGGAGCAGCTGTGACCCTCCACCTCTCGCCTGGATTCTGAGCGAGGCAATGGACAAGGGCCAGACTTGATGCTGTCCTCAGCCGACAGGCAGGGAGGCCTGGCTCTGCCAAGGAACCCGCACCCCTCCTTTCCCCGGAATGGTGTCCCAAGAGGCCTCCTTATCACAATCTAACGCCAGCAGGCTGCTGCCAACCAGGAACACCTGGTGCACAGCCTGACTGTAGCATTCTCCAGCTGTGTGGCCTCAGCCCAGTCTCTTCCCCTCTCTGACTGTGTTTCCCCCTCAGTAACAGAAGCTACCAATAGTGGTTGTCGGGATGTTGAGATGATTCACAGAAAAACTGTGGGTGTGGGCAGAGTCTGCTCTGCCTAGTGCCCAGGGAAGCACTGAGGAGGCGTTTGGGGACAGCTAACTATGTCATGTGCCCGTCAAGGCAGCCATCAGGCCAGGTGGTGCTGACTGACTCATGGGGGTGGAGAAAATGGAACCAGCTAAAAATACTGAAATTCTGGCTTCAATTAGGAACCCCAACCTGAGTCTCACCTAAGTCAGAAACAGGACTAGGTGACATCTTCCAGCCCAAAGAGGTCCCTAGAACCAGTCACGTGCTATTTTCTCCATTTCAGAGGTAAGGAAACTGAGGCTCAGAGATACCTTATCTCATCCTGGGTTTACAGAGGGGCTGGAAAGAGAGCTGGGACCCAGCCTGCTCAGGCAGGCCCCAGGGCCGTGGGCGTGGCCAAGCTTTCCCTGGGTCTGTCACACATGGGCCTGGGAGGGGACTGCAGGGACCTGGATGCAGCACAGCAGCAGCAGGCCAGACCTGCTGCCAGACCCTTAGGTGTCTGCAAGTGAGCCTGGGGACAGAGGTCAGCCAGACAACGGGGTTTCTCTAGGAAGATGTGTTTTAGATCTCAAAGAGGGGCAGGAGCGAAATCGATGGTTGCAGGGAGCTGGCAACCAGGGCAGAGAGGGGCAGAGGAAGGGGAGGATTGGGCCAGTCTGGCTGGGACCCTGGCCAGCCGATCCCCAGCTGCCTGGTGGAGTGGAGCTCCTGCTCGGGGTCTCCCAGGACCCTTCTTTGCATTGAGCACTGGTTTTGTAGTCAGAAAAGCTGAGACTCCCAGATCTCAACCTCTTAGAGTTCCTGAGACCATTAACAGTAACAACAGTATTACACAGCAGCACTGTATCTGTATTTGCTGTTCTGTACCTGAAATCACTTTGGACTCCTCACAAATATCCCAGGATAAAGATACTACAGTGGACCCTCGAGCTATGCTTGGCTGGTCCTAACAACAGCTTGGGTTATGACAGAATTTTAGTTTTAACTTACAACCAAAGTCTTGAGTTATAACCTGAATGCCAGCCGCTTGTGCTGCCAGATGGTCTCAGACACAGATCTGGGAGGAACATTGCAACATCCTTTCCTGTATAGGGTTCACTGAGAAATTCTGGGCCAATGACTCTCTAAGGACGTTGAGATTTGCTATATACAGGAGAGACTTTGAATGCTGTGTAGAGGAGCCCAAGCCTTCAGTTGAAAGCTTAAATTACAACCAGCCCTGGCGTGAATTGAGTTCCTAAGTCAAGGGTTCACTGTGTTATCATCCCCATGCTATGTAAGACGGAACTGGGACTCAGAGAAGTTAAGTGATTTACCCAAGGTCACACATTGCTGATATTGCTGATATTATTATTATCATTATCACTGACAGCTACAGTGGGCCAGATCTATACTATGCAGTTTTATGTCCCACTCTTATTATTGTTGTCCCCATTCTACAGATGAGGAAACTGAGATTCAACAGGAGGTCATCTGCCAAGGTCACAGTGGATTTTCTAACTCAGGTCTATCTGGCTCTGTTTCCAACCCTGAGCCCATGCTATCTCCTACAAGATATCCCTTGATCCTATGTACCACCATAGAGGTAGGTTTTGGAAAAAAGACTGGAGAAGACTGGCTGCAAGTTCCTTGGCACACAGCACATTGTGGCCTTGGTGGGGGGAGACAGGACCACAGCTGAGGTCTCTTGATGCCTGTGATGGTGCTCTCTGACTGTCCAGAGGCTTAGGGAGGAGGAAGGCAGGTGCAGCCCCACACCACGCAGAGCCCACCTGTGCAGGCCACAGCAGCGAAGACCCAGCACTGGCCGTACTTGACGCGCTGGCACCCATAGTCTTTCCAGCGCCGCAGGATGTCCACGCTGCCGATCCAGGACATGGGGCTGACACCATCACTGTAGTTGTTGTCCCAGCGTCCCTGGAGCACGCCCTGATCGTCATTGCAGTTGACCTGCAATCACAGGGCATCATGGGATACACTGGGGTCAGGGTGACAGTGAGGCCAGGCACAGGTGAGGACAGCATGGGGTCAAGGACAGGGCAGGGGTGCAGGTGCCACAGTACACAGGCTGTGGGGGGCTCATCAGAACGTAAGCTCTGTGCACTTAGGGACCGTGCATGTTTCCCACCTAGCTGTGGTCTCGGCACAAGTGCTACTTGATAGATATATGCTGAATGAATGAATACGCTGCTCTGGAGATGACATGGCTTTGCCTTCTTTTGTATAAATCTTCTCTTTCCAAACACAGATGTCCTGGGCTGAGACTCCCCAATTCAAACCTCTCATCAGGCCCAACCCAGAGCACAGCTATGTCACTGCAGCAGCTAGAGAGGAACCTGTGGACTCCTGGGCTTACTCACCATGGCGCTCACCACCCGGCCCACGTAGACAGGTCTGCTGCGGCGCGAGCAGTCTTGGCCAGCATTCTTCAGGAACTTGGGGTTGGTGTCCAAGAGCATCAGGCAAATATCCAGGATCCCATCTTCAAACTGTCAGAAGGAGCGGACAGTGAAGATCCCCAGCCACTGCAGCCCCCACCCCACCTGCTCCCTCTCACACAGCAGCCTGGGAGGGAGTGCAGGGGACGTAAGTGTGTGAGCAGTGGTCCGGGGGGCACCTGCACTCTGGGTCTGTCTGGGGACCTGGGTGTTGGCACAGAGCACGCAGAGTGGGGAACGAAGCTCCTCAGGGCCCCCGGGCCTGCCTCTGGCCGCTCTCTCTCTGCACAGCCAAGTCTCGGCCACTCCTGCCGAGGGCCTGACTCACCCAGCACAGCCCCCGCCCAGCCCCCACTCCGCTGATCCGAGCGGAGGCAGATGGCATTTCAAACACACCCAGGGTGAAATCTTGACTCCCGATCCGTGCTCACCCTCTTTGACCTCATCTCTCTCTACTTTCACCCACACTCATTCCGTCCCAGCTCACTGCTTTGGGGCCTTTGTACTAGCTGCTTTGTATGCTTGGAATGAATGCCCTTCCTGCTGCTGTCTGTACGCCTCGTGTTGCAGGTGAAGCTATATGTATCAAAGACAGGACTCCGGCTTTGCCACCTTCCATGCCCTGCCCATCTGACACCCATCAGAGGCCACCACTTTGCTGACCCTCAGATTGGTGAGAAACAGCAGTGCTGTTACTTTAACCTCTCTGTTTAGGGGTTCTCCTGTGTGCCCTGTTCCCCATCTTGTCATCCTGTCCTGGATCAGACCTTGTCACAGGCCTCTCTCAGTGCCACAGAATAACCCTCTAGGGCTTGAATTCTTCTATGGCTCCCAACTGCGCATAGCCTGGTGTAGGGAGCTGTTCCCAGCTGGGACACGGCTGGTTTTCCTATCTCATTTGGAGATTCCTTTACACACAGTAAACTCCCCGAGCTAGAATACATTTCTCAGGAGGAAAACTTCCCCTGTGCATTGCTGAACTCTGCTCAGACAGTCCCCTTTGCCTGATATAAGGGTCACCTATGGCATGGCAAATTCCTACTTGTTCTTAAAAGCCCAACTCAAGATCCATGTCCCAGAGCCCAGCACAAGTCTGAATACAAGATAGAACTCCGGGAAATACAAGGAAGGGCTTGACTTTGCTTTGTTTCTCAGGAGAGAATGAAAAGCCCTGAGAAATAAGAGCTATTTCCTTTTCTGATGTAGCTTATGCATCATGATCACACCACTGTGTCTCTTCCATCCCATGGCAGGCTAAGGAGCTGCTGGGCAGATCCACTTGTGATGATGTTCAGATGAGGAAACTGCAGGCAGCGTGAGCACACAGGATGACTTTTCTATGTCCACGGGACGACTCTCTAAGCCTGACCATTGGACCCTGGCCCATAGGCTTTGGAAACCTCAAGGTGAACCCTACTCTGGTGACCAACACTCCCAGACACTGCAAGAAATTGAGGGACTGGGTGGGTGGGGTCACTGCTTCATGCCTGTCCTCTGCAGACTCTCCTGGTGTTTTCCAGGAGGCTGGATAATTGAGGAAATCAGTGTTGGTTTAGAGAACCAGTCTGGGCACTGGCTGGAGAACAGGAAACCATGGAACAGCAATGAGCTGCCCAGCACAACCCCATCCACGGCTAACCACCCGAGACCTGGATTGCCCAGAGTGTTGTAAGACCTAAGAAGTAGATATAGCTCAGAGATGTAAGTGCCTGTCTGGCAAGCACAAAGTCCTGAGCTCAATTCCCAGTGCTGTCCCCCATGCAAGACATAAGAAGTGCTTGTTAGCCAGGTATTGCAGTATACAACTGTAATCCCAGTACCACAGGGAGGCTGAGCAGAAGGATTACAAATTTGAGCCCAGCCTAGGCTACTTAACAAGACCATGACTCAAAAAACAAGCTAAAAAGAGAGAGAGAGAGAGAGAGAGAATAAAGGAAAGGAAAGGAAGAGAAAGGGGAAAATGGTAGTTGTTTTAGTCTCTGTTTCAGGTTTGCTTGTTACTGAACATCTAGGGTCAGGGAGTCTAGCTGCTACAAACACATCAGAAAATGGTTCTCAAGATGGCTTGCCAGACAGCACTGGCATCCCCAGGGGCCCTGTCAGAGATGCCCTGAATCAGACACCAAGAATGGGGCTCAGCAACCTAGGCTTTGACTCGTTTTCTGGTGGCTCTGATGCACACACCAGTTTGAGGACCACTGCTCTGGACAGTGGTATAAGACCCCTCCTCACACACACCTAGCATAGCCTCAGTGACCTCCAGGTACTGAGTGTTATGCTGATATATAACCTAATTGCTCCTCTTTAGAGAATACTAACCAACTTCACGGCTCATAGAGAGTCTCTTAATTCTTTCCCCACCTTGAATCCAGGGCCAGTGCTTCTGCTGTGTGACTTCAGGCCAGCCTTGACCCTGACTGACACTTCAGCCATTTCAGGGCCCTTGACCCCAGACAGGCTGGGGTGGGAGATTTTTTGACCTACAGAGTGGCATCTCAGGATGCTTCATTTTTTAAACAGTGCTTCAGGTAGGAGGACTGAGGTGGTCACTGGGGGCAGATGGGATCCTACCTGCCCGAAGTTCCAAGGTATGCCATTGATGAACTTGGCCGAGCCCTGGTAGATGAAGCCCTGTTGGGTGAGCACATACTCCTGCCGCTCTTGGTCTGAGTCCATATAGACAGCATCCGCTACGGGCAGAAGAGGGTATGGGATTAGCTCTGGACTTAGCGAGGCCTGGGCTCCTTGCAAAGATGGCAGCTGGGGTGCCAACTCCCCAGGCCATGTCAGCATCTCAGAGGCCCTTCAACCTTGGAATCAGAAAAAGCAATCATTAATTATTAACTCATGCTAAGGAGATAAGATGTTATCAGTCAGTGACATCCGAGGCTGCCATTTATCCCACAGTTGGTGTCAGGACTTGTAATAAATGGATGGTGTATAATTTATTTATTCTCCCCAAGAGGCCCACAAGGAAGAGGCTTTTGAAAACCTCTTTTTAAAGATGGGAAAACTAAGGCTCAAGAAGATTTCACAGCTAGGACAACTGACGCTAAAACAAGAGATCGAGGAGTATCAAACCAGGAGTCAAGAAATCCTTCACTGTGACTTCACTAGGTGTGTGACCCTATGCAGGTCATTTCACCTCTCCGCCCACCTCTGCACATTGCTGAATGAGCCTGAGAAGTATCACATGGCTTGGGGAGGCAGGTTCTACCCAGCCTGGGGGCAAGGAGGACCCCCTGGAGGAAGGGGCACCTGAACACTGCTCTGAGATTTACCTGGGCCTGGCAGGTGACATTCCGGGCAGCAGACCAGAGGGGTCACACTTTGGCCGCTGGAAAATGCGCTGGGGCCAACGAAGGAGAAAAGCGGGTAGAGGAAAGTGAGGCAGAAGCCTGCAAGTCAGGTTGGTTTTGTGATGTTCACTTCACAGATGGGGAAACTGAGGCTGGGACAGGGAAATCTAGAGCCACGAGGGACTTCAGTGGGCCCTGGGCATCTCTCCTTCATGGATTGTCTCCATCATAAAATAAATATTAATATCACATCATGAAACATATAATTTAATTTAAATGTCCACTTTTTTCTTCTGGTTTTAAAAGAAGTTAAAACACTAGGGACTGAGGCAGGAAGACTGCCTGCCAGTTTGACCCTAGTGTGGGCAACTTAGTGACTTAGGCAGGCCCTGTCTCAAGAGTTTAAAGAAAGAGCTGGTGATGCAGCTCAGTGCAAAAGCCCTGAGTACAATCCCAGGGAATGCAATCAACCAACCAATCAATAAAATGATACATTTTCCTGGGGGAGAGAAGTGTTGCAGCCCCTGGGCTGCTGTGCTCCTCTGGAGAAGTCAGCCTGGAAAGAGGGCCCAGTTTTGGGGTGCTGGCCCTGAAGGGGTCCTAAGGGCTCCATCGGGTTGTAGCATCTCCACATTGATCATGGTGAGGAGAGCCAGTGCGACAGTGGCCAGGTTGTATGCAAGCTGCTCTTGGCTACATCGATGTGCGGTGAAAATTCCCCGTCAGGTGGATGCTGTGTGGCTGCGCACCAGCAGGCAGAAAGGCGGAAAGAGAAAGCAGAGCCCAACAATTCCACCCTACGGCAAATGTCAGCACAGCTCAGGTGCGAGGGAGCCTGACTGTGGGGCCTCCTGCTTGGGTCACCAGACGGTGAAAGTGGGGGCCCAGGAACGTGAAACCTCATCCACAACTGGCAAAAGATCCTGTCCACTCAGCAGCTCAGGGTCAGGAAGGCCTCTTTCCCAAGCAAGCGTTTCCAGCCCTTTCCCATACCCTGGAGCAATTTCCTCTCTGTCCCTCACTCCCACCAAGGTCTGACTTCCTGGATCCTCAAGAACCCTGCCCTGGGATAGTGGTCATTGCAGTCATGGTGCTGCTTGGCCAACAGCCACTCCATTCCAGGCAGGGCAGGGCAAGGAAGCACAGGAGGAAGAAGGACATCCTCACCCCCAGCCTCACTTCCCATTCCCTAAACCGCTGAACCCTGGGTGCTGGCCAGAATGGGAATAGGCATTTCCCTGCTCCTGGTGCAAGGCTGTCAACTAGCTGCAACTCCCTGCAGATTGATTAAAATCTCCTCAAAGCTTCAGCAGGTCCCCATACGGCCTCTTGTGTCCTGAGAAATGGTTCCATGTGGCCACAGGCTATGTGAGTAGGGGTGACTGTTGTGACAGCCTCCCCCAGTGAGCCACCAGGGATGATCTCATGGTTATTAATGGGGCATAGGGCAGGGGAACTGTCCTTCCACGCAGTGTGCAAGGCATTCCAGCTCTTACGAAGACTGCAGAGTCAGCCCTAGTAGTGCTTGTCTATAGTGCAAGCACTCTAGGAGTCTGAAGCAAGAGGATCACAAGTTTGAGCCCAGCCTGGGCAACTTAGAAAGATCCTGCCTCAAAACGAAAAAATTAAAAAGGCCTGGGAATATGACCCAGTACCAAGTCTCTGGGTTCAATCTCCAGCATTGCAAAAACAAAATTAAACAGAACAAAATACACAAACATGTCAGCTCAAGTATGGACAAACATAGAGGGCAAATGAGCTTGGGTTAACATACTGGGGGCTCCTTTATGTTTGAAAAAGAGCCATCAAATCTACAACTTCTCCCTATATTGTAGGTGAGCTCCCAAGACAGTGAACAACGTTGTCTTCCAATGAGTGTCCCCCAAGAACCACGGTGGTGTTTCCCTGTGACGCTTGGAGCTTTTATAAAATGACTCAAAACAAAGACCAGGAATCAAACCAGGCCAGCGAGCAGGTAGTTGCAGGGTGGAGTGGGGGGGGCACTTTCTGTTCCAGGCCCAGGCCGAGGACCACTGAGACGCCCTCCCTGCCTTGCTGTGTCTGAACAGGCAGGAAGCAGGCAGTGGTTCTCACTGCTGTTTTAGTCAGAAGGGGAAACTGAGGCCCTGGGAGTAGGTACTCGCCAGCCCCCACCTCCTCCCCACCGTTCAGATCACCATGGCTCTTGCACGCTCTCTCCTGGGCCTCCAGGATGCTCCACCACGGTCTGCTTTCTAAGTCAAAGAGCTTCCAAAGCCACTTCACTCTCCAAGTCTCTGTTTCCTGTCTGAGCAAGGAGGGTGCTAATGTCTGCCCCATGGGATTGTGGACAGCAGCAACTGAGACCATATATGAGGAGGCCACTGGGGACAAGCTGCTCTTACTCACCATGCCCCACCTCCCTCAGTTTCCACTTTCCAAACCAGCCTGGGTGGGTTGAAGACAAGGCCTTGCGACAATGGACCAGGACCTGATGTCCTAACTCAGCCTCAGCGGGGAACTCCACTGCTGACATGGGATTCTGAAACTGAGACATTGCCATGCTCTGGGCTACAGGTTGGTTCATGTGCCGGAACTTAATCTCCAGTACAGCAGATTCAGGCCACATGAGGGGCAACCAATGGGTTCATGTGGAAAGCACAGGATGGGGTAAGCAGCTCCAGAGCAAAACTGTTGCAAAGGTGGGTCTGGTCCCCTCTCCCATGTGCCTTCTCGTCCTGTGACACCTCTCTCCACACCATGCTACAGCAGGAAAGTACTCACCAGGTTTGGTCCCTCGATCTGGGGCTTTCCACTGTCTAAAACTATCAGCCACATAAACTGTTTCTAAATCATCCAGTCTGACGGCAGACAAAAACAGATAAAGACCGGGTTCGTGATGGCATGGGCACACAGGCTCTAGCCATGGCTAAAGTCTTTGGGCACCTGGATGGCCCTGGCTAAGTGGCTTTGCTCCCATGAGCCCCTCTCCCTGTCCACAGTTGGAGATAACTGAACATTCACACCAGGGGGCTGGCGCACAGAGCTGCCACGGTGGCCTCATCCAGTTATCTGTGATGCTTCTTTGGCCCTGTCCCTCCCCCCACCAGGCCCCTGGGGAAGGAGTGTGGCTCACCTGGGCACCAGGGATTGTAGAGCAGGATGAAGTGGCCCAGTACGAAGCTGGAGCCCTGGTAACCAGTGGAGGCCTCCAGGCTGAGGCGATACAGGCCAATGGGGGCATCAGCTGGGGTGCTGAGCAGCAGCGAGACAGTGCTGTCCTGCTGGTCCACTGCTGAGGCTGACCAGGTGCCCCCCTCGACAGCACTGGACAGTGAGAAGCGGGCCATAGTCCCGGCCTCCTCACTGGGATCTGGGCCTGCGGAGGAAGAACGCAGCAGCTGTGAACCGGGGCCAGGCAAGGCAGGCAGAGGCCGAGCACGCCTCTGGAGTCCCAGGGCCCGTGGCCAAGCGTTATTTCACCACTGACCACTAAAGGAAGTCTGGCAAGAGATATCGTCTCTCCTCAAAGCCTCAGTTTCCTCATCTGTAGGATGGGAATCAGAACCCCAGCCTTGCAGGGTGGTTTTGTGGGAACCTATGAAAAGCCACTGACACACAACTAGAAAATCTGCCTGGAAAGGAGCACAGCACAGCTTGGGGCAGAGTCTCAGTCACCCAGATCGGCCCCATGGTGACTTTGGACCAAGTCACCCTCTCTCAAGGCTCAAGGCTCTCAATGCCTGACTGTAGTTTGAGAAAAAATCAAGCAAGGTGCTCCTCAAGGTGAAATCCTTTACCTGCCACCTCCTGCTCTCCCTTCAGAGACAGAAGCCTGTACTCTGCCCAAGATGGGCATGGTCCTCAGAGACCCCTGGCTGTAAGCTAAATCTGGCCCCATCTCCATATATGGATATGTACAGAGCTGGCTAAGTTATTTCCTTCTCCCTTCAATTGGCTCCCTTCAACTGTGTTCGAGCCTCAAGATAAGAGGCTATGACTTCCCAGGGCAGAAAAGTTTGCACGTCAGAGCTGAAGCACCAGCCCCTAAACATGAAATGCTACCTCAATTGTTATTCAGATTGGTCTTTCTGCACATTCTTGTGTCTGCATATTGCAAAGATGTTTTCCGGCCTCCTAGCTAGCCCAGCTCACAGTATTCATGTAATTCCCACCTCTCGCACAGTCACTCATCCTCCAGCCACTCCCTTCTTCATGAATTATTAAAATCCAGGTTAGGCCCTGGGTCGAGGCCTTTGGTCTGATGAACCTCATTCTGGCCAGACTTAGGACGCCCTTGGCTCTCCAACCATAAATATGTCTTAATGTCTTTATTCTCCTCATGGGTTGCACTGGAATTGGTAGACTGGGATTAACTCACTAGAATTCCAATAACTTTTCCATGGGGTTGCAAATACAAACTTCCCAGACCACGATGGGGATGGAACAGGGAGGGCTCTCTATACTCAGCCTTTACCTCCCCACGGCCTTCACACTTGGTCAGGGGCTTTGTACGCTCTGTTTCCTCTGAGGCCCCCTGAGATGAGGACAGGCCCAGATAGATAAAAGGAAGCTCCCTGGAGTCTCCAGGGCTTGTGTAAAGTGAGCATCAGAGCCAGGTCTGAGGCTCTTGGGATGCTTCTCCTTTCCAGAGGATGTTCTCTGACAGAGCTTCAAAGGCCAGTGACACAAACAGTGTCACAAACGTGGCTGCTTTCTTGGTGGAGGAAGGAAGGGCTCACACAGGCAGGATTGAGTCATGGGCAGGACAGGAGGGGCTGGTCACTTTCTGGACATGGGCGGTGAAGGAGAAACAGAGCATGTTCTCTGCCCGCCTGGGCAGCTGCCCGGGAAAGTTTATTTTTATTCTTCCGACTCTGAGGCTGTAGTGCTGCCTACCCTCTGTCGCCAGTATCATCTCCTGCTCACCAAGAGGTTCCCCCAAGCAATGGCCTTCCTGCCAGCCTGCCAGCCTGCCAGCCCCATCCTCGCCCCCAGCCCAAATATACCCATCCTGCAGAAGACATGCCCAGCCTCTGGGGCCTGGCCAGTGGCCAGGAGCCAAATGGAAGCCTTTAAAGGCTCCTTGACTTCCAGAGCTGATGTTCAAGGAGGAACCAGACCACCTTGAGACTCAAGAGCCACCCTAAATTTAGTTCTCTACCTCTACCCATGAGTGCTGAGTGATCTAGGTAGAGACCCCAGGCCTCTTTGATCTGCAGTCTTTTCATCAAAGAAGAAAACGGATTTGGACTATATGCATGGGGAGATCCCATTCCAGCTCTGAAAAAGGTCTCAGACCTTAGGTTATTTAGCCTTTAATGCCATGGTTTCCTCATCTGTAAAATGGGGCCAGCCACAGGACCCTCTCACAGGCTGATGTGAGTGCTAACAAACAACTCATCACTAGTGTATACTGTTGTCACCTCTGAAGCCTAGTGCTGCCGAGAGGCCGGGTGAGAGTGCGTGGAGAGCAGTTGTCGTGGTGACTACGCAGCACACGTGCACTGTCCGCAGTCTCGTCAAAAGGGACCACTCGTGGTGACACATGCCTGTAATCTCAGTTCTCTGGGAAGCTGAGGTAGAAGGGTCACAAATTGGAGCCCAGCCTGGGCAACTTAATGAATTATGGAGACTCTGTCTCAAAATAAAAAATAAAAAGGGCTAGGGGCCCAGCTCAGTGCGAAGGCACTGGGTTCAGTTCCCAATAGGGCAAAAATAAAATAAAATAAGAACCGTTAAATAAACATCAGGATGCTCAGGCCACAGAACAGATTTAGAAGACTGGAATGAGACGTGGACATATTTTAGTTCAACTAAATAATTACACAGATGTGGAAACTGAGGCTGAGACCCTTCAGGGTAAGGCTGAGGTGACCTTGTGTCACAATTTGCTCGGGACAGCCCCACTTGAGGTCTTTAGTCCCAGCACACTCAGAAATGTCCCTGTTCGTACATTCAATTACCTGGTGTACATGGTAACAGGCCTGCCCGGGTCCCATGGCCACTGTCTTGTTGACACAGTGCCCTCGGAGCAGCCATGCAAAGACACACACAGCCCTTTCTTCTGAGAGGCTCTGAGGGGTGAAGACAGGCTGTCCCCTGGCCTCACAGCTGCTCACCTATGCTGTTTTCAGGATCACTAACACAGTGGTCTTGGTGGGGCCGGGGACATCACAGGGGCCACTCTGGGCCAGGTGATCCCGGGGACCTCAGGAGTCCTGTACCGCTCCAGACCTTGCTGGTGGCTGGGTGGGGTGGCTGAGGCTTCCAGAGTAAAGCTTTCCATTCAGCCTCCTACGGATCCTCCTCACCCTTTAGCCAAACCTCCACCCGCCCCACCCGCCATGCTCAGCAAAGTAGAATTTTATCCCTGAGAAGAGTGGGTTTGTTAGTCCGATCTGTGCCCTGGGACAGAGCCTGTTGGGTTTCCCAGTCATCTGGGAACAGCCCAGGCCAGGCACATGCTCCTTCACTAAGACTCCTGACTAGCTTTCTGCCTTCTCTGGGCCTTAATTTCCCTGGAATGGCAGGACGAGCTGATCACAAGTTACAGTGACCTTGACATGGGAGCGTGGTCCCTGGCCAGGGCCCAGGCTGGGCGCTGACCCAAGGCAGCTCTGGAGGTGGGGGCCCAGCTTCCTGCTATTGTCCCATCAGCTTCCCCAGCCCACTGAGGGTCTTGGCTGCTGGGCTGGTGAGAAGAGGCTGCCCACAGGGGTCGTGGGAGTAACGGGCAAGTCAGCTGTGGTTTGAGATAAGTCCAAGGAGACAAGAGAGCAGATTAGCTGCTGGGTTGGGAAGGTCGGCTTCCCAGCTCCCAACCTGAATCTGGGGTCCTAATTACCTACCACTGAGCTGCCCAAAAAAACAGAAAAAGAAAGGTTGTTTTGAGAAGGAAGAAGGTGGGACAGCCTGGCCTGTCCCAGCTGGGAACCCACCCACCACCCCATTTCCTGGAAGATCATGGGCAGGCACTTGTGGTGGGTGATAGCAAATGTGCCTACTGTGGGCTGTAGTGATAAAGAATCTCAACTCACGACAGGGTCAGGGTTGGAGACTTGCAGTGTCCCTAACTCACCATGTGACAAAGGTGACTTGACTTTTGTGAGCTGTGGTTCCCTCCCCTGTAAGATGGGTGCTGTCTGGCTTCCACACTGGGAGGATTCAGGCCAACCATGCATGCAACAGGTGCCTCAGAGATGCTGTGGTGTTTTACCATTGCAAGCATAACTACCTCAGGGCACCACCCTAGATCTTTACTGTCACTCAATCTCCCACTTGACAGAAGGGGAAATCAAGGCCAGAAGAAAGACCGGGGACTTGCTGGGGTGCTCTGGGCTCTGTCAGAAAGGGTCTGGGGCGTGCTAGTTTGGGGGATGGCCCTGGGTAAAGAGACGGGTGGGGAGGACCCAAATGGAAGGGATATCCTGACTGCCTGAGGCTCCATGATAAGCCTTATCTAACAGCCTTCCAGGTAAATAAGGCCTCACAAGGCCCGGGAAGCTCCTGCCTGCTGTTGTTTCTGCCCCCTAAAGACCTCAGACAGAGCTGGCCTTTCAGAGACCTTAGCCAGAGTCCCAGCCAGGTGGCCCTGTCCTGACCCCAAGGAAGTGGTGTCAGCTGGTCAGAAGCCAGGCCAACTGATTTGGCAAGGCCTCTTTCCTAGGAACAATCAACATAAGAAAAATGGGTCCTGGGCATCTGGGGATAAGTTGGATGGTCCTAAATGTCCTTCCTCCCATCTCTGGAGACACTGGAACAAAACTAGAAAACGCAATCAGCATTACAGGGTCTTCTCCCTTAGCCTTCTGTTGTGACTGCTGTTCAGATGATGAAACTCAGGGTCAGAGAGGCTAAGTGAGTTGCCCAATGTCACACAGTAAGTAAGAAGCCCAGACTGCTAAGGGGTTCAAGCCAGCTGGACTTTCTCTGTCACCCACATCTTATTTAGAACTGATCTTAGAGGCCTGGGGGGGGGGTTCTTGGATTGTAAGAAGCAGCTGATAAGAGACTAGAAAGTTGTTTTGGTGTGGGAAAGAGCAGGCAGGGTCTTAGTGGAGGTTGGTGAAAGAAAGCTGCCTCCGAAGGCCGGTGATGATAGCATCTCCAGAGCCAGGTGTCCTTGTTATAAGTCTGGGCAGCCTGGCTGACATCTCCCACTTCACTTTCTGGGCCTCAGTTTTCTCATTTGTAAAGCAGAGTTAATGATAGCTCGGACTGTCTCCAGGTGCTAAGAGGCATGAAGTCATCTGTCCTGGGTCCAGCAAGGGGCAAGGGTCAGTGAATTCCAGAACAGGTCAGTGGGAGAGGAGGAGGAGGACTCACCGGTCACAGCGTTGAAGGTGAGAGTGTCCACACCAGCCTCGTAGCCACGGCCCTCAAAGTGCAGCGTCAGCCAGAAGGGCTGGCCCCGCCGCAACACCAGCCTCTCCCGGCACAGGTCGGCCGTGCGGTGGTCGCGGCCATTGACCTCCAGCTGCAAATCACATCTCTCCAGGATCAGATCTGAGGAGACGGGGACGTGAGAGGCGTCAGTGGTAATGGTAACTTTCTGTGGCCTGTGAGGCCTAGTGACACACCTGAGCACCCGGACATGGGAGCACTCCTCAGCAGCAAGAGACCCTCTCTCCACTGCCCCTTCACCCGCCATGGTCTCACAGGGGCTGGCTGGCCTGCAGCGGCCTAAGTTTCTTAGGCACAGAATGTGCCCACTCTAGCGCATTGGAAGGAGTTCCACCAACTTCCAGCTGAGTGGCCTCCGCCAACTCAGGTCTTCTGTGCCTCAGTTTCCTCATCTGTCCCCAAGGTGGGGCATGGCAGGATCCACCCGGCAGTTGTGAGTGTGAAAGCAATCAGTGCATGTGGGTGACCAGCACAGAGCATGGTGCTGCATCAGCTTGGTTCGATGGGATGGGGGTGTTGGGGGCGGGTTTCAATCTGGAAGTACGTGGTCTAGTATTACATGGTGTTTGAAGCTAGGTCCAACTTTCAGTTTACTGGAAATACCCAGGACTGGGGATTCTACTAAATGAAATACAGGACAGAAAGGAGTCAAAAAATTTATACTCTGGGCAAACAAAGGATTGATAAGCTTCTTTTTAAATAAAGCAAGAAAAGAAGTAAAGTTGAAAGGAGACTCTCTAAAGAGAAGCCAAGACATTTCAACCCATTGTGATACGGGGCTTTTACTAGGATCTGATTTTGCAATCCCAGTTAGGAACATTCAATACCTGTCTAGGACAACTGGAAGTTCAAACATGGGTGTAATAATGGTGAAACAAAGAAGTTTATTAATTTATTTAGGTATACAAAAGAGTCTTCATTCTTTAAAGACTTGCATTGAAATATTTACAGATAATCTGATTGGGGATTTAGCTCAGCGGCATAAGCGCCTGCCTTGCAAGCAGGCAGTCGTGAGTTCGATCCCCGGTACTGATAAAAAGGAAAAAAAAAAGTTTAAATACAACAGCAGTTTTGGTGTCTTGTAGGTGTTAGTTGTGCTCTGCTGCTGTGTGATCTTGCACGAATGCGTCTCCCTACCTGTGCCTGCTTCCTCAGACCCCCAAGGACTGCTTCAAAGGGAGCAGAGAAGGTCTGGCCCAGCCCAGGCAGGAGTGTGACACAGGAAAGCCCTATTTTCAGTTCCAGAAGACACTAAGGACTGAGGCAGCAAAAGGTGACAGGCAGATGGCGGCCTGAGGGAAGTACAAGTCACATAAATTGGCAAGTTCAAAGCCAAGACTGGGGAGCCTAGGGGAGGGCAAGGCAGCCTCTCAGAGCTGCAAGGCCAGTGGAGGGCACAAGGTCCGGCCATGGCCCAGGGACAGGGACTTGCCCAGCCACCCAGTGACTTGGTCCCTCAAGTGTAACACCCATTCATGTCTCCTGTTACCTGCTTAAGACATCCCCAAAGTGAGGGCCAAAGTGACCTGTGACAGCCAAGAGCTTCCTTGTGGGCCACCTCAACTGAAACTGCACAGCAACTCTGCTCTAAAGCCACTGTGGCCATCCCCTTTTGCAGAGGGAAACTCTAGGTGGCTGCATGTCCCTAGCAGGTGGCCGCTCTGGGGCTTCACCAGGCTGCAAGATTCTGGAGGCTGCCCTGCAGCCCCTTCTCTACTGCTCAGGCAGATTCTCCCGGGCCCCTCCCACCACCTGTCCTTCCCAGTCCTGGGTTGTTCCTGGCCTGAGAAGGCACTGTCCCTCTTGTCCGGAGCAGCAAGGAGGTGGGCCTTCCTGCAGGTGAGGAAGTGCTGTCTCTGAAAACTTCAGCCCCAGAGACTCAGGCAAAAAAAAGAGATTACTGTTTCCCCAATGGAACTTGAGAATGGCCAGTCCCTGGTCTGGGAAGTTGGGGTGCGTTCACTATGATATGAAGAAAGGTCTGCAGAAATCATTTCAGCTCCAAAGGTGCAGAAGTAGAGTCCAGAAGCCTAGGACCAGTAGCACTTCTACACTGCCAAGGCCAGTGGGATCCTGTGAGAAATAGCTGCTGTGGCAATGGAGCTGGGAGCTCATCATAACTGGCATCTACAGGATCCTCCAGCCTCACTGAGCCCTGCTTCTGGCATAGGAATGAGAAGCTGCACTGGGAACAACAGACCACTGAGGTGACACATTACAGCATGTCGGGTTCTTTGAGTAGGGGCTGGTCAAGACCACACCTTCCCATCTCCCAACCTTAGGGCTGCAGTACAGGCAGAGGCCAGTCCCCAGTGGACAGGGCCTAAGAGCCAGCAAGGATGCTGGGTCCAGCAGCAGGGGTTTAGGAACATGTTCTATCCAACTTCCTTGCCCTGGAACCTAAGCAGTCCTGTCACTAGGGAGGGGTGGAAGCTGGGGTGGGAATTAATTAAGCATCTCTCCTGCACCTTCATCCCTCCTGGCTGTATGAAGGCCTGGTACTACTGTCTGTAATTTACAGGAGGAGAAACTGAGTCCCAACAGGTGCCCAGAGGTGGGATTACAGACCTTGAGGGCAAGAAGGACCCTAAGCGAACATGTCTGGCCCCAGTCCCCTCCTCCCAGGATGCTTGAGCCAGGCTTGCTCTGCCACACTTTCTCCCAGCCAGCAGGGTCCAGCCAAAGCCCGGTGTCCTGAGGCCAGGCCAGCATCCCAGACCGCTTTGAACCCCGGGGCACCGCTGCAGGGAGCCAGCTTCCACCAACGGGGTGAGGCAGTGAGGGTGGCCCACCAGGAACGCACTTTACAGTTTACACCATGCTTTCGAATTCCATTTCCTCACCTGATCCAGGGAGCGAGGCTCATTTTTATGCCTTGGGAATGAGGAAACTGAGATCCCAACAGTTCCAGCCCTGGAAGCCAGGTGACCCTGCCCTGCCCCGCCCAACCCAGCGCAACCCAGCGCAGCCCACCTGTTGCTCTCCAAATCCTAGACTTGGGTTGAGCCCCAGCAGGAGGTAAGAGATCAGAAAGGCAAGGGCGACCCCAGTCAGGAGCGGTGGTGCAAACGGACTCTGACACTCACCCTCTGCCATGGTCGGGCCAAATTCCTCTGCTCCTAGCGGCGGCTCCCGAAGTGGCGGCGACCGTGCAGTGCAGACCACTGCTGGGGCTGTGCTGAGACCTGGACTTATAGCCCGCTGCGGGGCGGGCCGGGGCGGGGCGGCGGGTAGGCGGGGCGGCCGAGGCCACGAGGGCCCTGTGCCCACATGTATTGCCCCAGGCACCCGACCCCCAGGGAGGAGCACAGGCAAGGCCGCCCCCTGGCGGGCCGAAGGGAACGCAAGGCTGGGACCGATGCACGGGAAAGGCAAGACAGGCAGATGCACTGGGACCTTAGAGTCTGATCTCGGGCAGCCTGGACCGGAAACAGGAGCACTTAGGTCAGACACGTGGGGTCCCCAGGGCAAAACCACCACTCTTCTCTAGGGCCATAGATACTGAATTTCCAGGTCCCATCAGAGAGCAACACACAGGGACACGCACGCACTGAGATACACATGAAACACACAGAGAGAGCTGCAGACACAGAGACACAGTGGGTGTAGACAACACTTCAAATGGCACACGATTTAGACACAGCCACAGGAACAGGGACACAAAACCAGACTGGAATCTCAGAGATGCCCCAGGGTGTTGACACAGCCAAACACACAGACAGGCACCCACCAAGTGCCATACCACCTCAGACGCCAAAATGAGCATGTGTCTGGGTGCTGCAGCTCGGGACCCACCTGCGGATGTGGCTCAGGTTCAGACCTGCAGAGGCTGCACTGTCTCGCTACCCATCGAATCATCTGTCCTCTGCTTCCCACCTTCTCACCTACTCCTCCCACCATCCATCCACTGGCCTTCGGGAGGCTCATTGTGTGCCAGAAGAGAGCAAGGCCAGCCTTGTGGGACTCAGCCTCTGACTTCTCGAACGCTGGCACCTCTGGCCTCCCAGCCTCCTTTCCTTCCTCACCCACCAAGAGGCTGGAGCAGGGTGGCTTCCTGGAGAGACAAAGGCCCATGGGTTTCCCCCACCCTTGTGTCTGAAACAAGTTTACCTCATAGGTGGATGTGGGCTGTAGGATTGGCCCCAGCCTCTGTTTCCTGCATGACACAGGTGGGGACACACACACCTGCATTGCTTTAGTGGGGGTTCATCTCTGGTCGGTGGACTCTGACTGGAGTCTCAGGGAACACAGTGGGTTTGTTCCCACTGTGTAGTGTGGGCCCTGCTGACCTGCAGAGGTGGCCCCTGAGGCACCTTTTATCGATACTGCTACAGAAGTGGTTCCCTGCAGCCAGTGAAAGTTTTGATGGCACAGCCATGAATGGCTGTCAGTGTAGAGGCTGGAGTTCAAGTTCGACTCTGATGGCCATGTCGCTGTGGCAGGTACTTTGGCTATGTTGGCCTTCATTTGCTCCTCCTAGAATGGGGGCAAGAATCCTTCGCTCACAGGCCTGAGCTGAAAGTGATCAAAATGCCAGAGGCTTGGTACCTCTTTGTGTGTGATGAACAGACAGTACCTAAGGTCACTGAGCCTTGACACAGAAATACTGACTGGCCCAGAATGTGGCCTCACAAGAAAGAAACCGCCAATAGAGACAGACAGCTTGGTAGAAAGAAGGCTGTGTGTTTCCACAAGGGCCAGGCTTGCCAAAGGCCGTTCTCTGACCTTCTGCATTTGTAAAAGATGCAATCTCCTCCCCTTTGGTTCCCTTTTCTTCTCAGTGTGCACTGTGGGGTGCTCAGAGGACAAGAGCTCAGGAGGCTTTGCTCTCTCTCCATCATGGTGCCCCAAAATTGTAAATCTGAAGCATGCCCAGCATCCTTTTATTGTAACCATCGATATGATTATGTTATAAATGGCTTTTTGATTATGATGGTTATTTCCACCTCGCAGTGGCTTGCCTTGATCTTGACCCATCTCCTGTGGTACGGGTGGCAGAGAGACCCAGGCTTACACGCTGGCTTCTGCTCTGTGTGGTCCTGTGCACACCACTTAATTTTGGTGCCTCAGCTTTCATCTGTGAAAATAGGGACCATCACAGTGTCCACCATGCAAGGTGTCCTGAGGATCAAGCCAGGGACTGCACAGAGAGAATTTAGAGCAAACACCTGGTGCTCAGTGGTGCTAGCTGTGAGGGTATCTTTCAGGTTATCCTAGGTCCAGCACAGGGTGAATGCTCACCAGTACCCAACCATCACCCCACTTCCTTCCTCTCCCATGATCCCACTTTCCACAGAACTGTGGCTACTGGGTGACTCAGAGCCTGAGCAACTCTAGTGGGAAGCAGTTGGGGCTCAGGACTGGCTTCCGAGAAGGTGCAGGAAGAGGCCAGAGCCCAGGTTGGGGCCACATACTGGAATTCTAGCCACAATGACGTCAGTTTCCCACTTTGTTCAGAAGGAGAAGAAAACCCTTCCCCATCTTACCTCACTAGGAAAGTAAGGGTTCAAAACTCTGAGTGAGGCCCAGAAGATGCAGCCTTGGGCTCAAGCCCCTGGACAGTGTAGTCAGGAGGCCTGCATCACCCCTTGCAGGGGAGGTGCTATGCAGTGGTTAGAATAGGAGGCTGCTGGGATCATGTCTGGCTGTGTGATCACCACCAGGCCTCTCTAAGCTCACGTCCCTCTCTAATAATGAGTTCCCACCTCTGGGGTCAGAGATAATGTTAGTAGCATAAATAATCAATGTTGCCTAACTACTTCCTGGTGATGCCCCGAAGGGTCAGCACTGTTCTCTACAGAAAGCAGAGCACCCACATGTGGGCAGGGCAGTTGCAGACGATGCAGGATATTTGGTGGGAGCTGCTTGAAAGATCGCTGCCTCCCAAAGACATCACAGACACTGATGATGGATATTGAAGCCGTCCCAAGAGAGGAACCGTCTCTTACTTCAGTAAGAAATTTCAGGCCTCAAGGTAGAGGTGAAGGCGAATTTTTAAAAACCTAAATTGACTGTTGGCAGGCACATCTTCACTGGAATCTCACAATGTAATTTTTATCATATGTTAAATAGGAAATAGGCTCCAGAGGAGAAGTGGCTTACCTGACAGCGCACCAGATGTGGCCTTAGCTCCAAAGCCTGTGCTCCCTGTTCTGCAGTGCAGAGGTCAGGTCTGTCTCTACCTGCCCGAGGGATGACTGCAAGGACCTGGATCTGGTCGAGTCCTGTGCTTATCAGCAAACAAGGTCTCTCAGGGCTTCGTTCCATGCCTCTGACCTGTGGGGTGAGGTGTAGAGAGGGTGCTCAATAAATGCCTATAGCATGAGATGGAGGGAAGAGTTAGAGTTGGATAGAAAAAGAGAAGGATGGAAGGAAAGGAAGAAGGTAACGGTTCAGAGAGATGGGGCAAATTGCCTGAGGTTACATAGCATGGCCCTTCCCCAAGGACGAGGGCCCCCAGACCGAGGTGACCCTGAGCAGCTGAAGTGTGAGGGTGGGGTGGCCATGGGTGGGACCATGATGGCGTGTTTGGAGGTCGCCACTTTTCTACCAACTGGTGACTAATGGGGATGAGCAGCGTCTGGCCTGAGGGAGCCCGGGGCGGGTGCCCCTGAGGTGATGGGTGAGGTGCATCTGGAGGACAGGGGACTTGCTGAAAATGTCAGGCAGCAGGCAAGACCTTTCAGGGTCTTCGAGAGGGTGGCTGCTCAGAGCAGAAGCTGCATGTCCCAAGCTTGTGGGGCAGAGAACAGGGTTCTGATCTGGGAAGCCTGCCAGTGTGCCTCTTTATTGTGGTACTGGGGATGGAACACTGTACCCTTTACCTCCGAGATACATTCCAGATCTCTTTTATTTTAATGAGATTATAAAGTCTCTTAAATTCCCCAGGCTGGGCTCTAATTGGCAGTTTCCTGCCTCAGCCTCCCCAGTGCTGGAATCACAGGCATGCATCAAAACACCAGGCCCAGCATGTTATCTGGCAGAGGAGAAGCTGATCTGGTCATCTTGCCCTCAACGGTACCCCACAGTGTGTTCCTCCCCGTGCAGTCCACACTCACCTGCACCCTGCCCCTGCCCCTGCATGGCTCCCTCCCACTGTGCGCTCAACTGCTTTGCTCATCACTCTGAAGCATCGGCTTCAGGATGCTGAAATTAGGGATCACAGTCCGGGTCTATAGGGCTGAGAGGATGTGGCTGGGGGTGTCCAGAGATGCAGTCCCTGTGGAAACTCCTTAGGGCACAGCCAGAGCTGATGGCTGGTACCTGAGACTCTGCAGGGCTAGTGCAGTACCCCAACCCTGCATTCAGACCTCCTGGCCCTACAGACACACTGCTTGTGCCCAGGTGCACCTGCGACACCCACCTCCAGGCCTGTGCTCTGGGCTGCCTTTCCCCTGAATCCCCTCCCCGCTCCCCGTCACCCTCCACCAGGCTGGAAACTCTCACCAGAAAGCCTTTCTTTGCATTTCCTTGGCCCCAGTACCCATAGAGCACAGCCCAGGCTGCCTGGTGTGAGGACTAGCATTTGTATGTTTCTGTCTTCCTCCACTGACCTGGCTCTCCATGGCTAACAATGGTATGTTGAATGAATAAGTGACCCACAGCAGATGGAGAGGGAGAAGCAAGAGGAGGGATGTAAAGAGGAGAGGGCTGTGACACAGTGGGAGGGAGGGGGAGAGAGAGAGAGAGAGAGAGAGAGAGAGAGAGAGAGAGAGAGAGAAAGAGAGAGAGAGAGAGAAAACTTGGCTAAGCACAGGCTGTCGAGGGGTAACCTGGGACCCTTTTTGGGCAGATTTACGAGCCAGTATCCATGGCAGGTCCAGGAGCCAGGACATGGTGCTAGTGATACAGGGAAAATGTTAGATGTCAGATACACTGAATTTGTGTTCCCCGAAGTTGAAGAATGAATTCTAAGAACAATGAAGGTTGAGAATAAGAACTGGAGAAAACGAATGGGAAATAGGAATAGTTCCTGAGAAACAGGAAGGACGCTGAATGGGTTGCCAACAAGCTCACTTCTCCAAGGAAGTTTTTAAGAGCAAAATCATGAGGTAGGTACAACGTGGGTCAGAATTATGATCAACCAATAAGATTGCAAGTGTAGTTGCTTAGGTGATATTGATCCAAAAGTAGCAAGGACAAAGCGTGACATCATTAACCTTGG